CGCGTCAATTTTTGTTTCGTTTCGCTGCTTAGAATTGTCATCAGGTGCATTATTATTATTATTGTACGCCTTGCATATTCCACGCGTTTTATATTATTCCGCGCGTTTCTCTGTTCATTAAATTTTCCATAAATGCACGAACACCCGCGGCGTAATTATGAATCCTATTGAAATTTAATCGTGAACCTCACAGACGCCTGAAAGTTGCTCGTTAACACGAAGTTTTGTCGACGTGCTCGCAAATAATGCACACCGTGGTTGTGTTATTTTCGGTTGACGAAAGTCAACGCCGCGGACTGTGTTCTTTAATACTTTCTTCGCACTTTTCATTCCGTGCCATATGGCGCCGCATGGTTAGAGAATCGCGATCCCTTTCAATATCCTGCTCGGCGAAAGCAGCGACCCTTCGAATAAATAACATCCGAGAATGCATGGTTGAGGTAACCCCGAGTGTCTCCTAAATTTCTTCGCTGCGCATAATTACGCAAACGAATGGATATTGTTCTACGAGTCCCTGAGAAAATTACGCGAATGCTCACTTGGTTATGATTCGTGGTTCGTGTCTTACAACAACAATAAACACCGTTCTCTAGAAAAAGTGTGATCATATATATATATATATATGACATACGTATAATCTCGCGATATTTCACGAATTATCGAATTAATAAAATGAAATAAAAATATGAAAGAAATGCCTGTGACTGTAGCTGTGACTTTGATCTACTGGGACATGACAATGTGTTCAAGACTCCATAATAATTTCACGCTCGGGTAAAAAGATGAAATGTTCGTGTGTGGAATTAAGAAATTATCATGTACATTGTCCAATGATTGATAACTCGAGTAACATTTTTCCCAAAGTAATAAACTGCCGAACGAAATGAAAGTTACGTACAATTTAATAATTTCCATCTACTTGTACATTTTCTCTGATAAAAAAATTTGTAAATACCCGCTACGAAGATTATATTTCACATCCGTATAATTTATGTAGATAACACGTTCGACAAGTTTTCGTGGCTCACGAACTGGTTCACGTGACGTTAACGTAAGTATAATTGCTAACATTACTTACTTTATCTGAGAATGAAATATTATCTGAACGTGTTTATGAATCTTGCAAGATGCAGGCACAGTAGGTAGTAACAAGCTAACATAATGAACCAAAACACGTCAGAACGCGTGAAAATTAATTTCTTGGTAAATCAACATTAGATTTTCAACGAAATCCAAAGATCACATGGGAATTGATTTTTCGATCAATCAATTAGATTTTCAAGGGCAACCTTCCATTTCGAAGAAAATATGCAGAGGCAGCAATTGCACTGAAATCTGGTATATTTGATTAAATCTCAAGTAGAAACGATTGCTTTAGCGCGAAGATTCCACTCATCGTTCATCTATAAATGTGACAAAACTTCAGTTGAACTGGATTCTACTGGACCGAAAGAAATTTCTGATTTAGATTAGCGGGGAGAATTCGTTAGCCAAATAACACTGAAAATATATTCAAGACGAGGAGATGAAAATCAATTGTCGAGGCACAGTTTCGATTTACTTCTCGAACGTGCGAAGAGAGTGAAATCCTTTCAAGTGATTAAAATATCACTACGATCACTTTGACAACTGAGGTAATTTTAGAAGTAACAACTAGAGATGTATACGTGAATAATATTTAAGTGCAACTTATATATCAGTATGTAGATATTATAATTGTGCTAAGTCTAGAAGAATCAAATAATATTTCGTACAAGAAAAAATCTGCAATGTATGTATTAGTGTATTAACAATTGTATTATAAAATATATGTGTACGTAGAATAATGTTATACATTACAGCTTAAAATATTGGAATTTCGCAAGAAATAACAACTTCCATTTTATTTACATTACACTATATTATATTAATATCTTCAAACGTAATTAATTTTTTTTTTTTTTTTTTTAAATGAAACTTGTAGTTGTAACGTTCATATCTTCCAGGGACAGATTCCATCCGATGCTTCAAACTTCCAGCTAATTGGGGAAACAAGCGAGAATGCGGAGACAAATTAAATAATCGTTCGAACAATTAACAAGGAGCAAGCAGAATTGCGGCGAGAACGTAAAACGCGGAGAGCAAGAGGAATAATTACGACAAAACCTCGCGAGCAAAGAGACTTAAACACCCTGCAGCGAAGAATGCCTGCTCGTACGTGGAAGGCAGACTGTCGCGAAGAGGCGACGAACGCATTTCAGAAGCACTCGAGCATCCATCTGACTGAGGTGAGATGACAGGCGAGAGCAACGCGAAATTGTTCGCCACGCAAGATGACTAAGTACAATTCGAAGAATATAACGAGACGCCCTTTCAAGGGCACATGGGGATTCAACACAAGGCACAGCTCGCGAATGGGGCAGAAGGAGGTTGGCTACGAGCAAAAGAGGGAAGAGAAATTCAATGCTTACTGCTGAGCGATTACTAGGTCGCGTGCCATTCTCTCCCTTGTTCTCCTAACTTCCACCATCGCTGTTACAGCTGTCACTCCCCATTTCGTGGTTTTGTAATGCCCCGTAACAATTACTCCGATACCGCAACGCGTGTCATTTTGCGCGCCACCCTTCCACCTCGTCGCGTATTCAATCGAGTCGCGCTCGGTGAACGAAACTTGCATTACATCGGTCAAAAAATTAATTTCTTTCTAATACGTGTACATCTTAAAATGATGTAACTAACATCATTCTAAACTGAAGTGCAAATTCATCTGATGCTAATCCGATTGTTCAAGCTTGTTTTAGAGAAAGAAATAATATCGTTCCCTCCACGATCTCGTACACAATTGTTCGATTTCGAAATGGAAAAAGGAACACACTTTGTTGTGCTACTTTTGAAAAGGGAGAAATCATGAAACATTATGTGTATTGTGAAAAACACCTTCAAACTACGGCAGTGAATTGATTTGTTAAATTTTACTATTAATGAAGATCAATGGAACTTTCATAAATTAAAGTTAATATATTAATAAAGTTTTGTTTGACTCGTGAAAAATCGCAAAAGAAGCAGTTATTACTTTTTGGCCAATAAACTTCGACAAAGAACGCGAAATAAGTCGAGGTGTGACATTTTTTATGATATACGAACCATTTTGTTTGCATGTAGCCTCGTTCATGAGTGAAAGTCAAATTTTTATGCGTAGGAAATTTAAAAGAGGACAATTTATTTGTTACAAATTGTTTCTTTCTCTTTCTGTTGTAGTTTTAGTTATACAGAAAATTTATGAATGCAATATGAAAACAGAATATAATTTGTATTCCATTTTTTTTAATTATGTTCACAAGAATGAAGCTCTGCAGTCTCTTAATAAAGATTGAGTGGTTCAGAAACCACTTTGATCAATTTCATAATTTAAAAAGTAATAGTTATTTTAACTGTGTCACTTTCTTACAACATATGAACTTATGAAAGCAGGCCATCTTCTCGAGGACTGAGTAACGAGATCAAGAAATTAATGAGAAATAAATTAATCATTTGACTCGAATATAGAATTCGTTCGTGATCCTTAAGTAACTTTATTACGACGCAAAGTGAATATTTGTTCAAGTACTCTCGTATAATTTACCGTAATAAAAACGTCTCTTACAGAAAAACCATGTTGCTCTGATAAATGAGTGACTCCGCCATTATAATGTAACGGAGCAATGAATATTCAAGAGGATGTAACTATATAATCGAGGGCCAATTACCAAGATCTTAGATTACTACACTCATGAATACATCGTTATTTCATAACAAAGTCACACGTAAACATTATGTATCAGCTGTATATAATAAAACTGTAGGTTACGCAAAATATCGGGAACGATATCGGGCAAAAATAGAATGGAAGGAAGGTTCTCAACGTTATCGCATATTTTTCCATACTGAAGCTTCGTATTTGCTCAATGCTTTTTTTTTTGAACCATAAATATAATATTCGGTTCGTTCATAAAATTCGTAATTTTATTTCGTATTAGCTCCAACTGTTCGCGTTAATCCGCTTCCTGTTTTCTTTTCTTCACTTTTCTCATCGATCGAGACAGAACGTTTACCTCTTCTTATCGCTTGTTATTTCTTGATGTTATTGAACGGAATTTACGAAATAACATCAGAAATAACATCAGAAAATTAAACAGAGTGTTCTAGTTGTTAGAATCGTCATTAGAGCAACTATTAGATTAGAATATTTCAGTTAGAAAGAAACAAGATCTTCTTACTCGATAAAACTCTTTTGTCAATTTAAGTGTCAATTCAAACTGTTGAATAAAAAAATAAAATTTAATTTAATACAACGAAACTTAATCTGAGTAAATTCACGTCGAATTTCGTGATTCTCAGACCCCAGGAAGTGTTCAGCAACACCGTCGTAAATCACGTTTGTGTTACGCAGAATCATAAATCCAATATTAAAAAAAAAGAGAAGAAGAAGAAAAAAGAAAGAAAAAACCCAGCAAAATCGAGATAAATTTCAGACATAAATTTAAGCACGTCCAGAGAAATTCAGAGATGTCGTGTTATCCACTGCGCGGAAAGGTCGCAGGTATCCAATAATGTTCGTCCCATTTTCGACTCGGGAACAGAGGTATCGGAGAATTTGAAACGCGTCGCAGCTCATTGTCATCGAACGCTACGATAACCAAAACGTATAGTCGATTTGCGATGCTCGCGATGGACTTGGAGAGACTTTTTTTCCCACGGCCGGTCCGCCGTTTATCGGGCTTGCCTCGCGTCCGTAAATAATGGCACCGTGTATCACCCCCCGAAAGCTCGTCTGCTGCTCTTTCTACGAGTACCAGCTGGATCGTAAAACTGTTTGCGAGGAACGGCGAGTCGAGTGTAACCTTACGTTACGTTTCAGCGGTTAGTCGGCAGAAACGCCATGAGATATTGCCTGCGAGTTCTCTCTCAATGGCACTGAGCGTCCATTAAACGGTACTAACGTCTACTGGATCATAATCCAGTTAACGAAACACAAGAAATTAGGCAAGATTCAACTACAGCTAGAACCGAATCGTTCAGAAGCTTCATATTGTAAAAATATTGGCGACTTTATTATGTAAATAATATATTTGTCTTTCAATCGATCTCAGAAAGTAAATTACTTGAGATGTTGTTTGCCATCATTATTATTTTTATTTGCTACTTTTTATCGTAATATATATATATATATATTTATCGTAATATATATATATTTTTTTCAGTTTTTATATACATGGTCTGGCCTTGTATACATAATAATATATATAGCATGAGGTGATTTCTCGTCTAGAATGAAATATTTTTTGTCCAAGGCTTTTTTCAGAAAAATTACCTTCAAATCTTGCTACATGGAATAAATATATGACTGAAATGTATTTTTTATTTTTTTATATATTTTTGAAATGAACAATACAAAACACCTGTCTTCCTCTAAACAGAAATTTTTATTCTCAATTGATTACAGGACACGATTAAATAACATGGAAATGATCAACTAATGACAATTAGATTTACATAGAAGAGTATAAAGTTTCGTAACAGATCTGATTCGTTCTACCATATTTAACAAGTAGATAGTAAATACCTTGATAAAATATAAAAAGTAGAATGGGAGAAGTTCGAAAGTTTTTAAGTTTATAAGGATTTCCACGCGTTTCATCGAACTCAAAACAGCGGTAGATTACACGGCACTGTTCCACGATATTCGAGTTCAAAGCAAATTCCGAACTTTGCCGCGATTATAATTATTGAGCACCACGAGTATTAATATCAACTTGTCCGATCAAAGTGTTATTAACAAAGTGATCAATTATGAAATTCCTAGCGTTAATGCTATTTTCTATGATGGTTGATACTACCACAGGGACATGGAGCAACTCCATCAACTGTTTGCGTTTTAATAAAATAACAGATTCAGAGGAGAGGAAAGAAAATTTTCTCCGGGGAATTACACGATCATTCTTAATTCTGGTTGTTCCGTCAACTCGTTATTATTCGAGAAAAATCCTATTTAATAATTGAATAAATTTCTACTTGATGATACAATAAATATTTGTTCCGATCTTTTTCTATTTGATAATTGAATTAATATTTGATTGAATAAATTCTTACTCCTTCGAATGTAAAAAGAGTTGTCATTAGACTCTGAATGTTTGTGCAAATTGATACTTCTACGAACACGATGAATAACGTGAACAATGATAACGTTATTCCTCTATAGTAGTAAAAATTTCTCTCAAGAAAATAGGATTGCGGCCACAGCCGCACAGTGCAGTTAAGCGAGAGCCCTGTAAAATCTAAAGTTGCTCAAACTCTATCTATGCGGCCGGTTAAAAATTTATTTCGCAAACTCTGAGAAATTTCCCCGCGAATTCTAGCAAATACAAAATTCTTTCGGATTAACTTTCACCGACGGGGGAGGGGGGAGGGGGCCAGCGTCATGAATCATACTTTCTCGTGAATAAATAACACTCCGCTCCAGTTTTGAACGGAAATGTGATTGCGTGTTTAAAAATGCACCGCATCGCGTTCACCGAGTTTTTAATTCAATCCCTCGATTCGTTGCTAATGTAACTTCATTCGTCCGGTAATAATACGCTTTAATAATTATGCTTTCCGTATACATATTCTTTCTGTGGTTGACGGATGTTTGAATGATGAGCTGGAAGTGTGTTGGCGTACGCGGCTATATAATGCGAAATATAAATCGTAAATCACGACGAACCAAGGGAAACTACGCTGACGCATGGAACTAAAATATCGCTAAATTTCCGATGACGAATTGCTGATATTTAAATTGTCATGACTTCGTGAAAATTAATCAGAAAACAACGATCCCGAATTTATTTATATATATTGAACGTGCAACCTCCTAGTGATGTGTCTTAGATTATCCTAAACGGTACACTAAACGGTACAACAAAAAAAAAAAAATCGTACATAAAGTTTCGGAACGTCAGTGAAAAGAAGGGGGATTTCAGTCTTTAAATTTATGGTAATTTTAGTTTCAGAAGAAAATTTTTGAATGTCCGTAGAAAAGCTTCGATACGATTGAAAAAACGTCAAACAACGAATTGATTAAAAGTTTAATAAGTCTAAGATTCGAGCTTCAGAACGAGTCTAGGTTTATGATTTCTTTTCACGAAGGAAGATCTTCATCAAATATTCGGTAATATTTCGCCGAAGATTTAGCGATCCTTGAATTTTACGCGCGAGTATACGTATATCACGATAAGCGGGCAGGTTGTGTGACACAGCGTGCATACGTCATAAGAAGAAGGAAGCTCTCACATCGCTAAAGCGATACGATTCGAATCGTTTCGACCGATATACACAGCGGCCGATTGTTTCACGTGAGTTATCGTTGTCAGAAATCATCGATTCGCGTGATCGTTCCGCCACAATTTACGATCCCGCCGGACCGTTCGAGAACATAGCGTTCTGCACAGTGATCTACATCAATATACAAGAGGAGCTGTATCGAGTGTCAGCATCCTCTTTAATTAGAACTGGAATCGTCAACCCGGCGTGTGTATTTTATCACTGTATTAATTGCTCGTATAGAAAACTGACAATGAGAATAATGGACGACTCGAAACAGTGATTTTCTCAGTTAAACGTGGAATACTACTAGCATAAGATACCAAGTACAAAAATAGT